GGACAATAAATTGCAACTTGAAGTTTGTAGTTGAAGTAGATTTGCCGGGAGTATCACGTGAATAATCGCAGACTGGGTGTGTAACAGCAGCAGTCGATTTGGACTCGGTGCAAATGCTCAACAAACAAGAGAAATTCCATTTGGAAAACGTCAGAAGAGGTGACATTCCAGCTGGGCAATCGGGGTTTAGCGCAAGTAAAGGGATTTGTGCATCTAGCAAGCACATTGACCGAGGGCAGTTCATGCAAGTCGACTAGAGTATTAAGCTTTGCATTGGGATAGCCTTCAGAAGCATTTGGAAAAAAACGTACAAAATCTGGAAGGCAACGGAGATCTCAAGGGCAACCAATGTCAGACCAGAAGAGGCATTGGCGGTCCCGGCTCTACGTTATGGATCTGGATGCTGGCCCCATAGGAGAAAGCACATGACATAATGACGCTGGGAGCAGAAACGAACTGGATGTGATGGATCCCGGGAGTGTTGAGACTATAAATAACGAGGCATTGCGTCATAAGCCAGCAGGTATTGGTTCAAAGGTTTAAAAAAAACGTGTATTTTACCAGGTAAGGCCCACTGAGCTCTATCGCTCTTTTTCACAAGCGACTTGGCCACAAATAGTACCCCAACGAAGTGGCTTATCACGTGTAAATGTAGAGTAGCCAAATACTCTAAACGCATGTTTCATCTAAATGTGGAGGGGGAAAACCGGAGGTCCCTGAGAAAACCCCCACACGACCACGGGGAGAGAGACACGCAAACTCCAAATATACAGCAGCAGGCGTCAGGGTCGGGAAAGAAGCCACGACCTCCTGCATACCAGGCGAGGTAGTTAACATCTCCTAGCCACCATGATGATGATGATGAGAGAGAGAGAGAGCTAGAGACACGCAAACTCCAAATAAACAGCAGGCGTCAGAGTCAGGATCGAACCCACGACCTCCTGTACACCAAGCGAGGTAGTCAACATCTCCTAGCCATCGTGATGATGATGATGAGAGAGAGAGATAGAGACACGCAAACTCCAAATATACATCAGGCGTCAGAGTCAGGATCGAAGCCACGACCTCCTGTCCACCAGGCGAGATAGTTAACATCTCCTAGCCACCGTGATGATGATGATGATGAGAGAGAGACACGCAAACTCCAAATATACAGCAGCAGGCGTCAGGGTCGGGAAAAAAGCCACGACCTCCTGCATACCGAGCGAGGTAGTTAACATCTCTTAGACACCGTGGCACACTCTCACCACCCACACAGACGTGTGTGTGTGGGTTGGGCATATGACGAGATACATAGGCCAACAAATTCACGTGATTGAATTAGCACCGTCATGTGGAAGAATCAAGAAGGAATGGTTGTCCGTGCTAGAGGTGACTTGGCATTGAAAATGAGAAGCACGCCAGAGAAAAACATGTAGGTCCATAGAGAGCGATCGGCATTACCAGCGAATGGAATTGCTGGAGATAAAGAAGTTAATGCGGCCTCGTCGATATCCACCACGTGACGACTGACGTCAGAAGAGGAAGAAACAAGACGAGAAGAGAATGTGTTTTAAGGCATTAAAAGTTTTGCTGTGAAATGTAGTAGCAACGGAAATTTAATAACGTTGATGCGAGCTCAACAATAGTACTCTCAATAGACACGATCAGCCTACTTACACGAACAACGCACTTTTAAAATGAAAAAAAAACTACATCTCACACCTTCACAATGAACATTTGATGAACACTGACATTTAATGCAAATTGGGCAACCAAAATGTCGTTAACAAAAACATCAGCACGGAGATAAAACGACAAATAACCTTATACCGTTTCGGGAAATGACTTTCTATATCACGTCAAAGGAGTTTTTTTTCTTCTTATTGCGGTGCACCCTCACCACTGAAATACAACGTTGCATGCTGGCACGAGTGTGCGTGTACACACAATTACCGCAACTAAATTTGGTTGTGGCTCGTAGCTGGAATAGAATCCTGGCAGGCGCTGACACACAGGCGAGCGCACCAAAAAAATATGCCAAAAAACCTCTAGCACCACCGCCGCCACCAACAGAGGCATCATAATGACCGACATTTGAAGCTTTCGTGACTGCAAGGATTCATATTCTTAGGTTTTTTTCGGTAAAGTCACGTAGGTAATTTTAATTTAATTTTTCTTATCTACGTGACTATACCAAAAAAACCTAAGCATATCATAATGACCGCTTTGTGGAGCCTCAGAGCACCTCTCTCAAAACGTGGATTTCCTTTCACTGCGTTGCTGGGCACCGCATTGAAACCTGTTCGTAGGTTTTTTTCTTCTTTTCAAGAACGCACAGAACCTGCCACGGCAGTGGGTTTTTTTTCTTCAATAAATAAACACCCAAATTGCATAGAATATGCAACAGACATCCGCAGTGAACGCGGCGACAAATTTGAATGAATTTCACGATTATTTCTGGGCAAGGCTAACCCAGTATGTACTGCCATTCATATGAATGCAGCCATGCGCCGTATTAACAAATGTAACGCGCTATTCAGTGGCGATGCGGTGTTGGCAGTGGTTCGAAAGCGTTCATTCACGAAAAAAAGTCAATACATTCGTCAATGCCTTTAAATAAATAATATATAATTGGCAACGTTTTGAGCAGTGTCCCTTCTTCATAGGCATTTCATCATTAATATGCGAAACTAAAACTATTTATTTAATTTTACTAGGTAAGGCCTACTAAGCTATATAGCTATTTTTTAGAAGCGACCTGGCCACAAATGATAGATCAACGAAGTGGCTTATCGCGTGGAAATGTATCGCAGCCAAATACTCTCAAAGCTTGTTTGTAAATGTGGAGTGAAAAACCGGAGTACCCAGAGAACATGTTAACCCCAAATATACAACAGGCGTCAGGGTCCTGGATCGAACCCACGACCTCCTGTGTTCCAGGAGAGGTAGTTAACGTCTCACCACCATGGCACCCTGTATATGAAGAAGGGCCATTTCCTGAAACATCGCCTATTGTATATTTTTTTTCTTTTAACATGTTGGGTTTTTGCTGCATTATCCAATGTCTGGTGTATGCAGGTACAGTGAATGATCTAAATAAATAAAACATCATTTTATTATGTTTTATTTTTATTATTTTATTATTTTCCTTCTACGTGACTTTACCGAAAGAACCAAGACGATGAATCCCTGCAGTCACGAAAGCTTTCAATCGAAAAAAAACAAAGTGAATGATCTGTTGAGAAAGCCAGTGAGTGCAGCAGGCAATGTGACATTCTGCCTTGTTTCACACTTCTGGAACGATTTGCTCTTTTGCACACCAATGACAATTGGAATTGCCATGGATGTCCCTGTGCATGCACGCGACGCGTTATTATGCACATACTTGAAACCACTCATACTTGCTGCTTAATGTAAGTGAAAATGTATGTCTTAACGGCACTTCTAGCTAAGCTATTGTGAGTACAAGTACTGTGATAGATTGTCATCTTCCGAGTGCATCTTGGCACACACCATAAAAAAGTACATTTGCTATGTTTCAAAAGGGAAATGATCAATTGCAAGGGTTTTTAGCGATTTGCAATCAACTTTAAATGATTGTATTTTTGCATTGTTTGATTCACGCATAATAAACGTTGACTGTAAATGATAGCTTTGCATTTGATAAAAACAGCTGATAGCTGTGAATTAGCACACTCTTATATTGTCGATGGTCCTTAAACGTTGCTAAAACATCCAGAATACGATGCACAGGGGAAAAAACGATACTCGCCGAGCAAAGGTTCGAACAATTTGAAATACAATGTTTATTACAATAGAATTGAACAAACAATTGAAAACAGGCATCTGCATGTCCTTAGGCCTCAAAACAGCACTCCGCAGTCCATCGGGGTTTTTTATTCTTCTTCCAAAAACCATACCAATGACCCAGGCGATAAATCCAGCAGACTCATTATAACAAACGATAATTCACAGGTAAAATATTGCTATTTCTTAACATTGAGGGAAACACCCTGTGCTCCGTGTTTACACAAGCGGTGGAAGTGATTTAAAAAATAAAATACAATTCAAGCATTTCCCATTCTCGTTGACCTTTCATTCCTCGTCAGCCACGATTAAAAATTAAAGCATGTATAACGCTGTAGCCACACGATGTTTGTAAGAAAAAAAAACACAAACGATGCTGGGAAGAGAAAAGTATCAATATTACGAATCATTTAGTCTTTCAGGTCAATTTCGTAGGCTTTTTGAAGACTTAAATACAATGCTAACATCCGACAAACGTTCTACAAATTATTGTACGTTTGAATGTTACATTAATCAGTTGTATTTCTGTTCATTAAATGTGTCAAGGTTTATTTTTGTTTGTTAAGAAATATGATTCTAGATTTGAAGCTTTCGTGACTGCAAGGATTCATACTCTTAGTTCTTTCGGTAAAGTCACGTAGGTAAAAAATGAATTTTTTTTTTTAAATCACGAGGTTTCGGAGGCAACACAAGTCTCCGTCATCAGGTGGGACCGTCACAGCCAGATTTGCTGCTTAATTTTTATTTCATTTTTTACCTACGTGGCTTTACCGAAAGAACTAAGAGTAGAAATATGATGTTCATGAATGCCAACTGTTTTGTTTTTGCCCTTGACCTGAAGAAACCCTGGACAAGGCATTCGTGTTTGGGGCGTAGAACTTTGATTTGTACGGATATCTGGTGATATTGTTATCGAACGTGTGTTGGACACAGTTTTGTGTTAGATCGCGTAATTAGTAAGATTTGTCACGTAAACAGAACGTGTAAATCTGTTACTAGTACACAACAGCACACTGGTGTGTTGGAGAGTAAAACCGATATTGTGGGTATTATTGGTCTCGAAAGCCGATGTATTAAACTGACGGTTTTGACAGATCTAGGCTGGCTGAGAAACACTGTCTGTGAAAATTGGTGGCAACGCTAGGGCCAGCCACTGTAACATCCTGCACATTCGAGATCTGCTTTAACAACTGTAATGCTTCACGGGTGTAGTTCAATTGAATTATCTTTGCAGACATGGTTTCCAATTCATGACGCTACACTCAAAGTTAACCAACTGTAACCACAACGCATATTCAGACCTAACGACAGCATTTCTTTAAAAAGCAACGCTGTTATGTGCTCAGCACCTAACACACACTTTTCGGGACTATGCAATAAAACGTTAAATTCTGAAGTATTACTTAACAATAATCGTGTTACGTTCATAAGCATCATGGGAATGCTAGCTTGCCTAATATGGATAAAATTACGAAAAACAGGTATAGGTACAGGTGTATATATAGTACTGTATTTATTACCATAATTAGTATTTTGTGCTTTTCATTAACCATGTTTCAATAGAATATATAACACAAAACTTGCGCATGATGACTTCTGCCAGCAATCGTAAAAATATGCGGCCACAGAAAGTGTGTGATTACGGAGGATCTGTATACAAGAAAGCACTCTGTCATAAACTCGAGTAGGCAATTAAAGCACAAAATAGATCATTATACATCACAGCTCCTTCAAAGGCAAAAATCATCTCGCTAAGTTATATACTTTTACTAAAGATCAGGCATTAATCTCAGGAGACTTGTACAAGTTATCCTGACAATGACACACTTCTGATGATGTTTAAATAACAATATAAACTGTACTGCTGCATTACATTAGCAGCAGACTTCATGACATTAAGAATTGCTAAATGACAAACTCGACCCATTAGGAAGTCGAAGTGAAATGTGTGTGTACGATACAGTATATCAATATTGCCTACCAGTTAAGTGATCTCAATAAATAACCATGCCAAGCAATATTATGTTATGCTTAGTCTGTGTCTAATGAGAGACAAGTGTGATAAAGGATAGTAGCTGCGTGTACATGTTTACAACGATAGGCAATATAGTTTACAATGCACGCCTATAAAGATATTAAATGTTTAAACGGAGTTGCACATCAACTGCAGGTGAATGAAACAAACGTAACAATCAAATGATTTGCATCTGTTTTATCGGCTCAACTGGGAGGACAACATGCCTTAGTTTTGCTGGTAAATATCGCTAAAGCGTAATATATATTTATTTTCCAGAGTAATAAACTAAATAAAGGCACATCCATTTCATAAGAGGTTTTTTTTTTACAAGTCAACAGAACTATTGCCATGAGATATGTCATTGGGGTGGTGCCATTTTAGATGCACATCAACAATTTTGAAAAGTGAAAATTCTAAATTGTCTGTAACTGGGCTTAGATCTTTTTTGTTCTTACAAACAACCGTATTTGTACAATATCCATTCACTAAAATGTGCGGTATACAAATACTCCTACATTTTCCGTTAAAGTATTTTTAGTACGTAAAATACCAATGTATTGTTTTGTAAATGCGACACAAAATTAAAATGTTTCTGTCTGCAGCAACAACAGTTTTTGTCTGTGTTAGTGACAGTGTCTTAAGTGTAGTGTAACATGTATTTAAAAACGGTGTAGCAAAATGTACATTAAACAGCACGTTTCAACACCATGCCTTATATGCCACGTGAAAGTCAACCAGTACCATCGTCTTTAAAACCATCAAAAGCAATCTACTGCTCACCAACTGTGTGCTGGTATGCACAACGACCTTCCAAATATACTTCGTAGCCTTTAAAGGCCCCCACTTTCCGGACGATGCTCTGAGTGGCACAGAAACAAATGGCCGAGGAAGCTCCTTAAATGTTTTCACACTAAAAATCCCAGCCGCCAATTGCTTTGGTGCAATGATGTTCAATACAAATTGCACATGCCTCCCGGGGCATTCTATGTGCATTTTACCTTAAAAAGAGACACGAGGCAGAGAAACGTAGGCCTAAGGCTTGGCTTTCTCTTGTGCCTGGGTGTGAATTTCATCAGAGCACATATAACAGCCGCCATGGCCACAAAACTGCCTTCATTGAGGACGGATACAGAGCAAAAGCGCTCTCCTTTTCCCTCCTTTTCAAACTTCAAACCCCTTCAGTGGTTCCATCTCTTGCTTCGACACCAAACGTTTACTCATAAGATTTCGTCAAAATCATCCACAAGTTTGGAATGCTGCCGAGCCTTCCATAACTTATAAAGACGAAAGCTAAAGTAGGTTTCTATCATCTTCTTGCCTGCGAAAACAAAATGAAGAAAAAAGGGATACATTTATTAATTTAACCAACATATCTTAATGCAACGTACGGTGGCTTCTAAAGTTGAAACTGCATGGTGCTAACGTGAAGCTGACCTAAAATGTTTCTTGAACCTTTTTGGTGGTTTTAACTTCACATTAATTTTATACCGCATCTATGCCTTTTAATTCATGAAGTAGCTTCGCAAGTGGTACTGCTGACTGCGAAATAAACCTTTCGCCACTGTTAACAATACGTGTAAAATTGGTATTTCAGTATTGAGAGATAGACGCAATTAACTACAGAGCAGAGAACAAAGGAGAACGCTGTAGAGGAAGAGAGAGGCAGAGAGGGGAAATCGCAGAGTGAGTTCAAAAGCGACTCACTACTGGACAGCAAAAAACACAAAGCAGACGAAACACCAGTTTAACACGTCGGCTTTCGTCACCAATATTATCCAAAAATGTTCGTGGTAAGATCGCGTAAATATAAACTCTGGCTGTCCGCCCGATGACTCCAGTTGTAATTACTGACGAAACGTCGCACTCGTATTGTTAATACTCTTTGGATCTTTCGGTAAAGTAACGTAGGTAGAAAAATAAATAATAAATCACGCCGTTTCGATCGCAACACAAGCAATCGTCATCAGGTAGAAAGATGCAGCAGTAGATTGCTTGTGTTGCGATCGAAACGGCGTGATTTATTATTTATTTTTCTACCTACGTTACTTTACCGAAAGAACCAAAAAGTATGGATTTTCTGCAGCCACGAAAACTTCAAATCAAGATCGAATTGTAAATGTTGTGAATTTCGATTTAAAGCTTTCGTGACTACAGGGATTCATCTTCTTGGTTCTTTCGGTAAAGTCACGTAGAAGGGAAATAATAAAATAATAATAAAATAATTAAAATAAATGTTTTACTTTTTTATTTCCCTTCTACGTGACTTTACCGAAAGAACCAAGAAAATGTTGTGAATTTTACTCTCCAACACACCGGTTAGTGCTGAACTAGTAACGAATTGGCATGTTCTGTTTACGTGACACACCTTACTAATTGGCTGTGTCGGGCGGTGGCGGGTTTAACGGCACATTTATATTTACGCGATCTAACCCAAAACGCCTCTATTTTGGAGAGGAAGCACCGCATGAGAATGGGAAGGCCATTGCCCAGCAATAAGAAGTTAGAGGCTCACAAGCGCATCAACAAGCTTCAACACGCACCTTGAGCAGACAACTCCAGTGGTGACTCAAAAGACACCCGATAGGGCCCCATTATAGACTTGAGGCTGTCCAACAGCTGCACGCAGGAGAAGTTAAACACAACACGTTCATTTTTAATTTGCGGCATGCGTCCATGAAATGTGATTAAAGCACTGATTGAACAAACGAAGAATCGGTAAATATATTATGCGGAATGGGTGATTGTCGCTAGGTTTCAAAATTAACTGTTTTGTTCCAATGATGCTGTTTATTTGATTAAGAATAGTTTGAAGAAGTGTTTGAACGAATAAAAAAGTATTCATCCTTTCAATAAACATCATGTATGCAAATAGGCAAACACATGCATACTTTCTTTATGCACTGTCCGAACAATACAGTATGACTCAGTGAATCTATTATAAGTAGAAATTGGGGAAATATTATTCAGTAGTGGTTGTTATATAAAAAAAATCCTTATTATAAAAAGGTAAATTATTAAAATCCATTACACATAGAAAATGCCAAGGTAAAAAATTATACTTCTAAATGGAAAATCGATTCATATTCTTGGTTCTTTCGGTAAAGTCACGTATAAGGGAAATAATAAAATAGTAAAAATAAACAATAAAATTATCACGACGTGTGAAAACCACAGCAAGAAAAACCGCCACTTTAAAAAAAATATATATTGCTGTGGTTTTCACACCTGATGATGATGATTGCTTGTGTTGCAATCGAAACGTGAGAATGTTATTGTTTTATTATTATCATTTTATTATTTCCCTTCTACGTGACTTTACCGAAAGAACCAAGAATATGAATCCCTGCAGTCACGAAAGCTTTAAATCGAAGTCTTTCCTTGATTGCAAGGATTTAAATAATATATGAAAGTTGCAGGTTTACTACTTCCCCCAAGACGCCACAAAATTCCTGTCGCCATCCGCCTGCACAACAAATGGAAGGTAAAATACGCTACATCGCATATCTGCACCCCGCCTATTGAGCGGCCACATACCCGCTGTAATATCTGTGCACAATGTCCCTGTCACTATCTGTAGATGTTCGCAAATCCCGACCTTCTCGCACGCAGCAGTGGGTTCTTAATCTCGCGTACATTAGCTCACTTCTAAAAGCGCATTCGAGCATTCTCCCATGTTTAAAGCGGTCTTTGCTTTATTTTTTTGTTCGCTAACCCATCTGTTGCATGGTGTGCACGTATAATTTTTGTGCAGATGTTCGCGTATCCCGACCTTTTGACACATCCACCTCGGTCGCCATCGAGTTGGATGTGCGATGTCTGAGCGTCCTCTCCGAGTGTTTTGTGGCGCGGTATTTTAATTCGCACGCGGAAAAAACCCAAGGCCGGTACCTTCTCTCCATTGTGATTGCCCAGCACGTAGCATCCCATAATGTGGACGACGTTGAGCTCGGTGTTGATCTTGCTCATCAAGCTTCCGAGGCACTTCCAGAACCTGCACGACGGCACCAAAGAGCACCAGAGATGCTGTCACTGCCCTCGGCCAGAGGTCGCAAACGGGTTTTGATTCCTTACCCGTACCCGGCCGCACCAGGGTCGCAAACGGGTACCCGATTGCGACCTCTGGGATGAAGCCATGTTGCAGGCGCGGGTGGGTTGATTCTAGGAACTTGAATTGTGAGAAGAGACAAGACGTTGGGAAATGAGTGACAAACGGTAACTCACCAGTGACTCACGGCCTACCCGTACCCGTACCCGTACCCGGCCGCACCAGGGTCGCAAACGGGTACCCGTACCTGGCCGGGTATGGGTAGCCGGGTATCGGGTAGGGTACGGGTATCGGGTACCCGATTGCGACCTCCGCCCTCGGCCCAAAAGCTCATCCCCGTGCATGCGCCTGCAATCCAGCGTCTTGGGAGGCAGCGAGGGAGATGGCAAATTTGTGAAACTCCCAAACCCACTGAAAATTATGCTGAAACTGCACTCCTTGCAAGTTGTGTGGATGATGGGTTGAGAAAGAAATCGTTTTATTTTTGTATGTGGAGAGATTAATTCATGAAGGAGAAAATGCCTCTTCTTCTTGGTTCTTTCGGTAAAGTCACGTAGAAGGGAAGAACAGGTCTGTCGGACGCTGTCTTTCCGACAGACTGTTCTTCACCTGAGGACGGCTGCTTGCATTGTGGCCGAAACGTCGTGAGAATTGTATTTTATTATGTTTTATTATTATTATTTTATTATTTCCCTTGTACGTGACTTTACCGACAGAACCAAGAAGATGAATCCATGCAGTCACGAAAACTTTAAATCGAAAGAGAAAATGCCTGCTGAATTATTCTCTTGCTTATATTCTCCACAACGAGGAGAATGGTTATTTTGAGTTGTAGATCAATTAAGTAATGCTGATTACGTACATAATTAAATCATCTTCTTTCTCCAGCTTGGCGAATGTTGCCACCTTATTCTTCAACAGATACAAGTACCCGGGCCCTCCCTGTGTGGGGAAAAGGATAAGAAGAAGCAGAAGCATAATATCGGGTTACTGAGGTGTCACGTGACAAGCCGCTCCACTTACAGTCATCGGAGTGTCTGTCTGGTCCGTGACCACAAAAATGGAGCAAAATTAGTAACACATTCGACAAATGTTCATTGAGCCAAAGTGAATGCAAAGGTTATCCTTCAATAAACTGCTGTAGAATACTTAAAGACTGGTTATAGATTATGCAAAGGTCACTGTTAAAGCATAAAATAACAAGGGGGAAAAAACAATTATTCACGTCCAAGGATTGTGTTAGACTTTCCAACGTGCAATTAGTTTAGAGTTCGTGATACAAATGTTAGATTCTGAGCCACACAACAGCCAGGTTTTCTGTCTGGAGAGTCCTATATAGCAACACAACTTTGCATCAAAATGTAATATGTATTGAATTACCTTCACGAGAATTATCGTGACCCCATGTTACCCATACATGCATGAGTTTTGTACCATGGCTGAACATCGTTTCATATTTTATGTAAGAGATTTAGCGTTGTTATACCAGGTAAGGTCCAGTGGCCACAAATGATAGCTCAACAAAGTGGCTTATCATGCAGAAATGTATAGCACTCAAATACTCTGAACACATGTTTATAAATCCACACAACCTCGGGGAGAACACGCAAAGCCCAAATATACAGTCCTCCTGCATGCCTAGGAGAGAGAGTTAACATCTTGCCAATGCGGCGCTCCAAATATAAAGATCATCGAGTTTGTCTGTGTTTCGTCAGCGACTCTGAGATGTAATTTGGATGAACCACGTGACATACACCTAAAAGTTATTATTATTAACAAAGATGGATAGATAGACAGACAGAGAGAGCTAATACTTGAACGCCCTCAGCCTTAGTTGCGAAGCGTTCAAGAGACTATTACAATGCGATGAATGTTTTTCATCCACACTATTAAACATTATACAGCTCCTTGGCCTTGCCTGTACTCTGACAAGATAAATTACATATTCAATATAAAATCTTTGAAACACTCTTAAGAACTGTTATCGATTAATGTGTTTGCTTCTGAGAGTCTGATGCCACAAACATGATGCCCTCTGAAATTCCAAATGAATACTGTAATGTTTGAAAATATTGAATACAATTACAATATTTATTAATTATATTCATGATGATGTGACTCTCGACTGACACAATGCAAACATCGCCAGCCAAATACGTCCAGTTTTAGGAACCACATTTTGGTTGTGATGAACATAGGCATTAAAACAATGCCTTGAGTTAAAACAACCCTTGTTTGTGATAGTTCCATAATCAGATTTTATAAGCTGGCCATCAACTTTGTGGATAATAAATATATTATGATGCCCTTCAAGTTGGAGGGTAAATATCTGGCAGTTTCATGGCCAAAATAACCACCCACTATAATTGTCCCTCTCTTCAAACACACAATGCCCTTTATTTTAAATGAGCTTTGCACATGGTAGCATAATGAAGCCACCGGGTAAACAGATATCACATCCTTGTGCTAATGACTAATCCCGTATTCTTATATCATTTAGAATGCCTGCGTGCATGATTGTTCTGTCCACATGGCAATCAGATAAAATTCCCCACTGAACTGTGTGCTGGATTACAACATACACGAAATAATCTATCCTTGAGCCGTGCAGTGGTTCAATAAATATGCCAGACATAGCACTAGACCAGACGTCATTGGTTGTTATTGAGTCATAAATAAATAAACGCTTTCTTGAAGTCCATTTCAGCCATGTCGCACTGGTAATGATTTGGGCTGAAATTCCTCTCGTGTTAAATGATTAATGTGCGTCACGAAGCTTCACCTGGCAGTAAATAAGAAGCTTCCAGATTTTGCAGCCTCTTCGATATTCATTCAGCTTCTTCTCTATCTCATCTATGAAAGGGCAAAAACATTTTGATGCTGACAACAAATAAGAGGAACTTCAACTCCACACACAATTGCGGTGTAAATTGTACAAAATGGATAATGATGTCTTGTATACAATTGCATGTAAGGAGTCCCATCTACTTGTTATGAAAGTTTCTTTTCATGCATTTTATCAATGTCTCCTTTAACAATGTTGGGGTAAATCACCAAGGTGATGAGTTTTGGCCAATTTTGTCAACAACTGAATGCGGTCCACAGTAACGAGTTGGAAAAAAAATACTGCGGTGGAATACAATCGGGTGACATAATTTTCGCTGCCTGGGATATAAATCTGAAATAAATATTATGTGTTTGTTTGCTTAATATTGTAAATTTGTTATTTTCTGAACGATGACAATTATTCATCCGTAATTTAAATAAACATTCACGTACTTTTTTTACTAAAAAATCTACCCGAGGCCATGAAATAGTAGGTCAACCTTAAAAGGTGATGATTACGAAAACGATTCTGATTGGATAAAAACTTCTGCTTCAATGAGATGGAGTCTATGTCGCGTCAGTCAACCCCCTACCCCTTTCTGTAAACTCCATCTCTTTTAAGGGACAAAGAGCTGAGAAGTCCAGAAATTAACCAACTCTTTACGGAGGTCACGCACACAGGCACATGGGAGCTGTGATTCCCCGGGCTGGTGGCACTGAGCGAATGGCAGTTCTTGCGCGACCTCTACAATCGACGCTGACACTTTAGATAAATCAGCACTTTTGTGCGATAACAGGTGTTTAACTGTTGCATTTTGTTTTGCAATTTCTCGCTCATGCGGCTGTTGACTTGAAGGGCGTCCAATAATATAAAGGGTGGTCTCGAGATCCCCCTGAGGGTAGTTGCCCTACTTTCCACACTGGCCACACGTGTTGGAAGAGGTGGCAGTACCCGCACTTTACCCCACCTCATGTGTCCTGTTGTTCGACTAACAGTGGAGAACCCATGTATGCCGCTGCGTAGACAGAGGTGGCAGGCGAATATAAGAAACCCACTTCAGCATTTGTTTCTTGCTGTGGTTGTCCCACCTGATGACGGATGCTTGTGTTGCGCCCGAAACGTCGTGATTTATTATTTTATTTTTATTCAATTATTTTATAATTTATTTTTACCTACATGACTTTACCGAAAAAACCTAAGAGTATAAGAAACCCCTTGACTTATTGTGTTACAATCATGTTAATATGTGAGAGGCGCTCCAAAAGTAATGACGTCTACTTAAAAATATATATTTATTTTATATTGAACTAACATGAAAATCTAGATTTTGTTTAAGTCGGGTGACTCAACAGTAGAACAAGCGGCTCACAATCAGACGGAATGAGAGTTCACATCCTGGCTAAGGGCTACTGTGTTTGCAAAATGTGTGGCCCACTTAAAGAATCCTTCAAAAGCCCAAACGCTAAATCTGAGAATGTCAGGTTTATGCTTTTTAGATGATGGACCAGCGCAGGCCACTTGAACTCTAAAATGGACTGTGAGTGTTCTGACATGGTCACATTGGAGAAGGAATTCTGCCATCCGAATGTCCCACTTCGTTCGTTGCAACAACAAAGAGTCCTTTCAATTTCTCCCACATGTCAAAATGTAACCATGTCAAGATGTGAAGGATTCATTCAAAAGGTTACGGGGGTAGAAGTGTGACCATTAATTTTGTGGTAACCCTTGCATTGCTGTTAGTGCTATTTTAAATTAATAAATAAAATGCAATAATCCGATGAAGCTCGGCAGATTATCACCAGATTACCAGCAAGGGTAAATGCCCGTTGCCTAGCAATGTTCTGAATACCATCAGATTACGGCTTAACAAAATGACGGAAAAGCCAGTGCATGAAAGCAGAGAGGCAGGGAAATATAAGAATGTTTTGATTGAGCTGATGCGCGAAGCATCACGTGGAGTGTATGCATTCTGGTGCTGCACCGCACGCTTCAGAGTATTTGCAAAAAAGTTCAATCAAAACAAATTAACATGGAGATGAAAGATGTACGATGATCTACACTTTGGCCTGCAGCTACTTAATGACCTCTTTTGTCTCCGGTGCCTAGTTCGTACCCGTGATTGTGTTGAAATGTAATTTCCTTGTTAATTGTCTGAACAAATTAAACAGCCCTCCAACTCGAATATCTATCGAGCGCAATAACGATTTGTTTTGAAAAGCAAGGAAGTGCTGGAACACCTTAGATGCAAAGGGAGCAGCACATTAAAATACGTCAACAGCATTTGTATAACATGTCGGCTTTCGCGACCAATATCATCCATAATATAGGTTTCTGTGGGTTAGATCACAATTATAAATGGTGTGGATTTTCTCTCCAACACACCAGTTGTTGCTGTACTAGTAACGAATTAGCACGTTCTGTTTACGTGACAAACCTTACTAATTGGCTGTGTCGGGTGGTGGCGGGTTTAACGACACATTTATATTAACACGCTCTAACCCAAAAAAGCTCTATTATGGAGCATTTCATATTATTGGTTCTTTCGGTAAAGTCACGTAGAAGGAAACAAATATTTTTATTTAATTTAATATTTTTAGTTTATTATGTTTTATTTATATTTTTTTTACATGACTTTACCGAAAAAAACAAGAATATTTAATCCCTGCAGTCACGAAAGCTTTAAATCGAAATTTATGGAGCATTTGTATACGTTTTCAAAAGAATGGAAAAAATATTTCAGCACTTACCTAAAATGTCAGAAAAGGTTGCATGCTCATGGTCCTAAAAATAGAAAAGAGAAAAACAAATATTCAGAAAAAAATGTTTTGCATTTCATCAAATGTCATTAATTTTTTTTGACCTCATCGTATATATAAAATGCCCTTAGCTCCTATAATTCTTATAATCATGATGGAAAGTTCTCTTGCTGTGAGGCGGCTTTGCCTAGAGATATGAATTTCTATCAAATCCGGACTTAATAAACATTTGTAGCGGACGGGTAAGCTTGAATCCAGTGCAATCCTCTGAGCCCTGAGGCTGACAGCGTGTCTGCCTGTAATTTCCCCAAATCCTCTCCCATTGCTTCCCTCAAAATTATTGGTGTAATTTTTATACTGGTTGCGCTGGTAGACAGATAATGGAAGTGCGTAAAGGCAGCGGAACGTATAAAAGTGAATTACGAGCATAATTCTCGATTCGTTTGCTGCCGCCAAAAAAGCAAAATATCCATTACGCTTTGTTCCATCTCAAAGCTCCTGCAGTTGATCCAGCACTATTGCAGCACTGCAATGTCCCGTAACATCAACGTGCATGATCAAAACCCGAGGTGGTCCAGGAGGGCTAAACTACAATGAAAAAGTAGAGCACAAATGTTTAAGAATTTGCTGATTGTGGCAAGTATTACTGGATCAGAAAGAACCGTGGGTAATATAAGAATTGGTTCTGGCAATAAAACAGTTGTGTTAAGATGTTAAAACACCAAACATAAACCTTTTTGCACGGAATCGTGTCTGCATTAACCACACCTACCTGTGGTGAAGATACAAACGAAAACCTGCTCTGGTACTATATGCATTGTGTCTTTGAGACAGCTTTCTTTAGAACCGGGAGTAATTTGGCGATGGCCTCAACTGCCTCCATATTGGTGTTGGCCGCTGTTAAGCATGCCTCAGGAAGTGATGCTACCGTGACCAGGACCAGAACACAACTCTATCTGTGTTGACATTGGAGCAAATTACAAATCATCAGCTCCGATGTCGTCTGTAAGAGGAGGCGCGCGCACAGCTGATGATCTAAGCGGCGTTACCGGCCGTGCGTGGACCTGGGCCCACGAATGGTCACCATTGGTTGAACTAACTTACTATTGTGGACACGAAATGAATTAATGGTGGCAATTGTCAATTAAAATGATGCCAAGTGCATTCTTGAAAATTAACGTGATTTTACAGCACAACCGTGAGGAAGCGATAACGTAGTTCGTTTAAATATTCCCAATGAAATTTTGTTTGTTTATTATTATGTGAATGCAATGTTATGCGGTGGCGCAGTGGTTACTGCCTTACTCTGTGAGGTCCAATTACCTGCCACGAGTGATATCCCAACTCGCAATGACCAACGTGTTGACGCATGTCAACACCACCCTGACCTCTCTGTGTGCTCTGAAGAAGGCCCATTGCCTGATACATTGCCTATTGTATACTTGTTTCTAGTGTTAAAGACGAATGTGATGAGGTTTTTGTTATTAGTGCACCACAGCCTAAAGCAGTATCACCAGATAGTCTGCTGATACGGACAAACAACCCCCCATGACTGACACGACGTAGGGGATACCTTCATCCAGTAGTGGATTGATACACGGCTTGTACGCATTTCTACATACACAGGTACATTAATGCAATGCGAATAGTATTATCTGCATGAAAGGTCTCACAATTCCACCTAGACACTGCCGGCAGTTGTCTCGTTAGCACTGGGACATTGCCGCATGCTCTTTCAAGTAAGGGTGCACCTGATCAGGGTAGGGCTTCCGAACCAAAAAATACATAGCCCGTTTTTTCCATTGATGGTAAATCAATATCGCAAAGAGAATTTCTGAGATCCTGCCTTGAATCGCACCGATAAAAATTTAACGCTGCACTGGCCAGATGGCTACTCTTGGCTTCCAGAAAAGCTGGATTGTACTCGTATTCGCGGTTGTGTCTTTGCGAGGTTTATTTCTCTCAATCCAGAAAGCTCTACTATTCCAGATTTAAAGGGCTTACTGGAGAGCATGCATGGATGGGAAGCAAACCCAACTAATGATTTGTGTACTGCAACATTTTTGTGAAGAGTTAATACGAATGATTGAAATACATGCATGTTTTGCACATTACAGGAAAGGCATTTGAACAATTGTTTACACGGTGATACCATAACTTGGGACATGTGTAAGTAATGCATTATTTACATTGATGTAAGCTGTAATTATAGCACAATACTTAGAAAAATATTTGATATCTGTGTATATAAATAGTTCCGTAGTGCATGTGTGCGTGCGTATTGGTTTGACGTCACCGAGAGCTATTGATTACATGCCTGGCATGACCTTATTTCTACATAAATGATTTCACTTGAAAGTCAGCATTTAACACTGAACATTTGACCCAGTGGCCAAGAGCAGCACAGAACTCTCAAAACCACGTTTAGTGGACCAAAGCGATGACCCCGTGCCCTGCCCGGAGAAAATCTAAAACCTGTCCCTTCACGCCACATTGTTGTATGTGCTGCCTGTTGAACTTCTTTCGCACCACATGTAGCCAACCGTGCTAATTGGAGGTGCGGGGGAAAGACAACAAACTAAACAGAAAAAGCAGCTCTAAAGAAGTGAGTTTTCAATCTAGATTTAAAATTGCATAGCTCCAGTGGCTTCCCAATATCGGAAGGAAAAACGTTCCAGACGGCTGAAAAAGCAGATCTGAAAGCCTCGCGATGCAGTCACCGGCTTTGTTCGACGGCTGAGCCAAGAGCCGCTGCAACGAACATGGCCGGAGTTCACGTGATGATGGTTTATGCTCCTTGACGAGATCAGTGATGCATTGCGGCTCATTTGTGGCAAGCACTTTTGTGTGTGTAGTGAGTGCGACCCTTATAATGTGCTCGTTCGTGAGCGATCATTCAGCGGCGCGTTCTATGTAACCTCTGCACACGCAACTCAACTATCACTTCAAACAAGACAGCACAGCGGCCCATGCCGTGATTATATTGCTCAGCATGTGAGGTTTTGTGGTGCGGGCTGGGGGGGGGTTGTTGTGCAGATATTTTGAGATGCCTTGGAGCCAAAAGTTCTGCAAACCGTGGTCTAGAGAGAGCTCAGCCATACTAGCATAAATCGTGAACGCTTGAAATATGCAAGGGCCGGCAGAATGCAAGAATACCGGAGCTTAATGGAAAATATTCCACAGCTACATTAAGCAAGGGTATAAAAGACAAATTAGCAGGGAAATTGGCTGACATACCTCAGGCGTTATTGTAATGTTAAACACTCATCTTTAAATTGTCCATATAACCTGAGGTTCAATCACTTTTAAACTATTTTTTTTTATCTTTTTACCTTTACAATAAGAAAACTTGGGCCAAGTACTGCCAAATGTCAAATATGTTTTGGGTTACATTTCACATACGGCTGCTTGGCCTTAAAATGGGAATGTGAGAAAAAAAATGGTAATCTTTTTTTGGTTTTAAAAATCAATGCTTTATATGAGCATTTGACAAGAGAATTGGAGGAAGAAATCCAAGGGAGCCAGACAGATCTCTTTGGCCCCTGATCGGCACAGGAAGTGCGTTATATATTTATTTATTTATGTGACCCCCCCCACCCCGGCCTGCAAGAGGGCAGATACCTGCTTCAAGATGGCAGCAGATTCCATTACCTCATTGAGACAGATAGAATCGGAGAGCACCCGTGTTTTTAACGGACAAAATGTCCATTTATTCTCGCGGGCAGCTCTGCGCGCTGTAATGCCATTTTTTTTCAAAAAATTTTTTTGAATTAATAAAGCAAAGGTACAGGTGCAGCCCTGTGATTTTTTGCTCCAGAGTGAGGGTGAGAGGAACACGTGATGTGGGTCCTGAACCCTCAAGAAGGATCTGGAAAAGGGGTGTGGCCAAGGACGGGGCCTGTCCACGCCGCAGTGGATAAAAGCAGACCCCGGTGGGGGGGACCGGGATTGGTCCTGGCTAGGAAGAAACCTTCGTGGTCACTTGATACAGCCATCGTGCTGTGACTGTTCCACCTGAAGACGGAAGCTTGTGTTGCCTCCGAAACGTCGTGATTTTTATTTTATTTTTTATTTTACTTTTATTAATTTACATTTTTTACCTACGTGACTTTACCGAAAAAACCAAAGAATATGAATCCTTGCAGTCACGAAAGCTTCATATATAGAAGTGATCCTCGGTCTCCGGGCATCGCACACGTGGACCAGGCAGCGTGTTGGCTGTCCTGGTCCGATTTAGTAGTTGTCCATACAGAGTGTAAATAGCCATCTCCCCAAATCATCTTCTTGGTTCTTTCGGTAAAGTCACGTAGAAGGGAAATAATAAAATAATAAAAATAAAACATAATGTTTATTATTTTATCATTATTTTCATTATTTTATTATTTCCCTTCTACGTGACTTTACCGAAAGAACCAAGAAGATGAATCCCTGCAGTCACGAAAGCTTTAAATCAAAAAATCTCCCCGAATGTTTATAAATCTCGATTTTCGTGACTGCACGGATCCATACTGTTTGGTTCTTTCGGTAAAGTCACATAGGTATAAAATAAAATAAATTAAATCATTTGTCTTACTTGTAGCCTCCACTCCCCCGACCCCACACCCCACCCTCCCTGTCTCTCCTCCCTTGCTCCTCCCCCCCCCCCTCTCTTACCTATATGGCCTCTTGTTGCAGCAGCCCTTTTGCCCACTTCAGCAATTGTTTCTTGCTGTGGTTGTCCCACCTGATGACGGACGCTGTGTTGCGCCCGAAACGTCGTGATTTAGTTCATTTTATTTTATACCTATGTGACTTTACCGAAAGAACCAAAGAGTGTTTATAGTTAAGTATAGGAATGGTGGGTTACCAGCCTATATCGTTATCCCGTTAGTGTTAATAGTTTATGTGATGTTAGTTAATAAAACGTCTTGCCTCCAAGTTCTAGTGTGTGCCTCGATTGAACCCACGACACCTAAATCTGCTGTTGTATTTTGAGTTGGCCCTGTAGCCGAGAGCACCATTCAATAGCTCATGACTCAAGTCACTGAGGTCACTCGAGCAGAAAGACTGGGGCTTGACAGCTATCAGGGGCTCCTCTCATCTCATATTAGTGCCTATGCGACCAAGTGTTTGTCTCAGTGAAAGCTTCAAGAGCAAGACACAATGTCACATTGGCCTGACGTCGTATTTTAAAACGACACTCCACATTTGTGTGCTCTACAAAATACAGCAGTACATATGGATAAACATGTTCACATGAATGAAATGTCAAACGCATTAAAGCAACAGATTTCATGCCCACGTGCATATGCGCTTCTGTGTGTGTGTGTGGGGGTGTGCATGTGGATATATGCTTGTGTGTGTGTAGGTGTGCATGTGGATGTACAATTCCCAGTGTTCGCGCGTGTGTAGGCGTGCATGTGTCCATACATATGTACGCATTTACGCCCATCTCCCACGGCGTCCATAACCGACCGTGGGTCTTGTATCAGCACTATGTGCGAGTGTTGTGGCAAGCCTCTGGGGTGGTCTGCTGAGGCGTGCGGAGGTGAGCGAGTCACCGATTCATGTTGTGCTGCTTTCAAAACAACCTACTGCACGGCAGTGTCACTTACGTAAAGGATAGCGATGATGGACGGATCATCTTTGCGGATGATGTTGGGGATGTACTCGGCCTTTGGGACCTTTGATGAAATCAGCTGTGGGATGAACAAAAAACACGAGATGGAATTGTGTTTTTTATCGTGACTGTTTTCAGCGCTTGCTTCTCTCTGAGGCTTAACGCAACACATGTCGTAGCTCTGCTAAAGCCCCTCGTAACAAAACAACACAAACGATTGTTTATTATGCAAATGGGTCGCATAAAACGCCGCATTAAATGCAGCAGACAGTAATGGGAAAGATTATGAAACAAAACATGCAGTGCATTTAGCGCAAATCGCTTGGCTGCATCCAACATTGATCAACACAGCAGAATGCTGCTGCTGCTGCTACGTGGCGTTCTAAATATACAAACACAGGACGACGGACGACGGGATGTGCGCATTGTGCAGAGAAGACGCTTGGGCTGCCTTGGGCACAATTACAAACCTGCGTGGCATGATGTCGGAATGTAACCAACATGAAACGTGTACGCAATTTTCAGGCCTTTAATGTTAAATGGTTCCTCTTTAAATGATTAAAAAATAAAACATTTAACAGTTTTAACTAAATAAATACAGGGTATCCGTAAAGATATCACACATTATAAAATACAACCAGACAGTGGCATGAACAGAGCGGTTAAATGTTGGGGTTATGTGAAAAATCCCACAATAACCGAAAATCGTGAATTATTTTCAAATGCACATATCAGAAGCATTCTAATGAATCACACCCAAACACCCGTTTGTTTGTGATTGCTCAAATCTTGACTAATCTATCATGGCCTCAACACATTGGCCATGTGTTAAGATTTAGAGGGATTAAACTGATGTGATCAAATATTTATACTACCAAGTATGTGTGTGTATAGTTTTATCAACCTTGCTCTAACTACTGTCTAATTACTTGATAAAGTGTGAGGTTATGTCTGGAGGCTGAATGACCATAATGTTCACTGAAGGGTCTTGGGCAATGGGCCAACAGCTGAAAAGTTAGATGGTGACATTCGAGATCTGTTGTTCAACTGACCAGAATTCAGACACATGTCTGAATTCATAATTATTTGATCAACCATCTATCTGAACAGAGCTAAGGCTCCACTCGGGTATTAGCAGAGGTGACGTGATCGCTGATCCATCAACAACGTCACAGTGGCAGGCAGAATAGACCTCGTCAACATTAACAAACCATTCGGACTCTGTCTTCTCGACAGACCTGTTCTCCACCTGAGGACAGCTGCTTGCGTTGTGGCCGAAACGCAGTGAGAATTATTTTATAATGTTTTATTTTTATTATTTTATTATTTCCATTCTACGTGACTTTACCGAAAGAACCAAGAAGATTAACAAACCATTTTCTCGTCAGACACCACACCACCACCATTCAGCCAGGTTTCAACCAGCAACTTTGCCGTGGCGTGGGCTCCGGTGAACAATTTTCACACCGAACAAGGTCATCGCGTAGCCAGATGAGTAATCTGGGAAAGCCCAAACTGTAAATGTAGACATGTGCAGACTGATGAATGTTGAGGTGGAGGATGATTGTCCTCTGAGCAGACTGAATAGAGGACTGAGAGCTGTGAACACTGCAGATGATAATGATGATGATGTAGCCTGGCTCAGCAAGGTACGCATTCACTAGAAGTTGCATGGATGAGACCTTCATAGAAAACCTGTAAACTGAAAATGAATTTGAAATAATTGCCCCGAATTCAGCAAAGGTTTGGTGCAAGGCCCATAGTTGTTCAATTGTGAAGATAGTCCACCTCGTCAAATGTGTAAACGTTTATTAGCATTGTACTCAAAGCCACTGCAATATCTGCCCATTCTTTACGGTTCAATATTGCCTAATTGTAAGATTTACGATCCAACACGTGAAATATCTGAACTCACTCGCCCTGGAATGCGAGTGAATGGGGAACACACCTTCGAAGGTCACAATATGAGTTCAATAAAAAAAACAAAAGCTTCTGTGTGGATTTTAATTGCTTCCCAGTTCAATAGTAACAATAAATGTGAAGAGAAACATTATTCAACAAATCTTTTGTTGTTGCTTCAAGGCCATGGCTCCTGCGTCACTATTTTTGAGTAAATATACTCTCGTTTATGTAAATACACGCGCATATCACGCACAAATATTAACAGCATAATATACACAGTAAAACCTCTCTAAGCTGGACTCGATTCAGCAGGATTGTGGGTAATCTGGAGAGGTACCCATAAATTAGAAATAAACACCGATTTTCATAGACCATTAAACAAAAATTCTGGAACAATATTTGCGTGCCAAGCTGTGCACAGAAAGGTATGTAATTCTACACCCAATCCACATGTGTCAGCAGATTTAAGATGTACAGGACATTTTTGATACATTCATCAACACGAGGGAGTGTAAGACACTATTTCAATCTTTGTAACAATTAGAATTGATGCAGATGTGTGCACTAGTAGTTCTAAAGCTATACACGTTACCTGGTGTATGCAATTTTGTGAGTACGTGCCCTTGGCTGTCTAAGCCATTCAAACTAAACTACGCGCATTTTTTATTTCATCTGAACCGATTCGGTGCCCCTCGACCCCTCTCACCATTGTTCTACACGCCAGTATGTACTCTAGTACGTACACTAGTACTCTAGCACGTACTGGCATTCATGAGTGCATGTGTAATGACAGGGTTCCACCTGTCGACCTGGAGGGCTAAGTTATATAATGACTAACTAGCAGGGGGGCATATCTGGGGTGAAGGTTAAAGGCGGAGTCAGTCGGAAAGTTCCGGGAACCTGCTCGAAGGTTCTGGAAGGAGGCGTGGCCGGAGGCGGGGCTTGGCCACACCGGGAGGTATATAAGGGGGACGGAACCAGAGGTTCGGGGCTGTTGTGTGTCCTGGGTCCTGGCTGCGTCGCTGCTAGCCATCATCTCTCTTCGTCGTCCGGCCGCATGGCCGATCCTCTGCACGGCTCTCATCGTCATCGTCGCTACGCTAGTCAGACAGCTGTGTCGTTAAGACGCCGACGATGGGGTTGTGTAGAAGGGTCGGCTACGTGTCGCCATGTAGATACGTTGTGTATAACGGCCAGTGTTGTGCCCAGAAGCTCTGGACACGACGTGTCTCGGAAGTCGTGCACTACACACGTGACCACTTCACAACACAAGCAGGACCCTTGTGAGCGAGGGTGTTTAAGACCCAGGTCTTCATCATGAGTAAAAAAAAAAGTCTCAATACGTGTCTGCTAGATATAACCACAAAAAACAATGCCCTAAGGAATGTTAGATGTATGTTTAATTACTCTCAAGATAAAGAGGTATTCAGTTTTTTTGTGCGCACTTCACCCACAATGCGCTGAAGTAACCTTAAGCGGGAATGCATCCATCTAAAATATTAATCCCGTCATCGTGCCAAGAAGGGCACACAGCATTTTTTTTTCAAAGCAAACAAACAAAACGCTTTCCACTTGCCCCGGAACCCATCCCAAGGATTTAATTACAATGGATGAACCTGCCAAGAAGACTAATGACCCTTTGGCACGCCGAAAATTCATTTAGAGCACGCTCAAGGGCTGACCACAGCCCAGAGATCTAGTAGCCTGGAGGACTTTAATAATCTCCACCACCATCTCCCCCCCAACGTGCGTGGTCTGATGGTTCTGGATTAATCAAAAATAAGAGGGGGGGGGTTTTAGTTGTCCCTGGATACATTTGCTTTCTCCTTCTCCTCCTCCTCCTGCACTCGTGTGACAATGAATGCGATGTTTAATACTACAGTGTACAGCTATCTTCTTGGTTCTTTCGGTAAAGTCACGTAGAAGGGAAATAATAAAATAAAATAAAAATACATAATAAAATATAATTATCACGACGTTTCGTCCACAACGCAAGCAGCCGTCCTCAGGTGAAGAACAGAGCTGTCTGAAAAACAGCGTCCTAATGAACACCGCCAAGCTTGGCAGCGTATTTTCAGCTGGGTGGGAAGAACAGAGCGCCTTGACAAAGGAGTTTACATATCAACAGAGGAAGTTAGCATATTGACGCTAAAAAACTGCAACTACCCTACTTCCATATAATAAACCGATGTGAAAAAACTAAACATAAAATACATCAATATAATCAATGTACTCAATATACTCTCCAATAAGCTGAGCTATTAACATTAAGTAACTGGGTATACACTACACTATATAATGACTACCATATATTGTACAGCTACACTTTAATTTGTATAGTATCTGAATGCAACAGAGTTGAAAATAACTTGATGATGATTTTGATGATAATTTTCTTATTTATAATAATTAAATAAACACGAGACATTCATGCAAACAGCATGTAAAAGTTTGTGGGTTAAGTCACTAGTCTTCGATTTAACCAGGAGAGCAGGTAAACACATTGGCACATGGGAATCATTGTCGCTCTTGCAATGAAGACCTGAGTCTCATCAAGGCATTTTAAAGTGACAGAATATTTGAGATCATAATTTTTTTTACAAATCTATTAAGTTTCACAATAATTTTCATGCTCAGAAAGGAAAACTACTAGAATAGGCAAGTTGAGGCAATGGAGAAAATTGCACAAAATATGATTACATTATCAAGTATAGTTAAACGTACGAGCGCGTGGATATTTTTCATTAACAAATTACTGTCTTATTCTTTGGGTCTTTTGGTAAAGTCACGTAGATAGGTTCAAAGAAAATAACAAAAAACCACGACGTTTCGATCGCAACACAAGCGGTCTCTCTTTTTTATCTCTTTTTTCTTCCTGATGACGAACGCTTGTGTTGCGATTGAAGCGTCGTAGTTTTTTGTTTTTTTTTGTTATTTTCTTTTAACCTATCTACGTGACTTTACCGAAAGAACCAAAGAATATGAACACCCATACATATGTATTAAACACAAGCCATGCGTAAGTCCTTAGGATGTGACCATCCGTCCGAGCCGGCCAGCAAACTTTTTTTTATAATAAAGTATGACCTGTATGCCCTATACACACATCCCAGGTTTTTCCTTGCTTAGCACTCAACTGGCAATACGTGTGTGTGGTAGTGTAGGGGTTAGCATGCTGCGCTACGAGCCTGGCAAGCCAAGCTCAATTCCTGCTTATAGCCAACACCATTGACATTTATCTGAACTGGTCCTGGGCCTCCCCGAGGTCGACTCAGCCTCAAATGAGTACCTGGTACGATGTGTAAACATCGCCACGAGGGAGACAAAGGCGGCTGGGTGTGGTGCTGACCACCCAACCCCTCATGTGCTATGCCGGCCTTCATAGGTGCTCGCTAACAGCACTTGCCCCAACAGTCTGTCAAAGATACGGGGGATCTTTGTCTATGATGCTTATATTCAGCCAGACTAGTGATAGATGGAAAACAGATACTTTTCATTCCATTACCCGCTGTTCCACAACAGCAGAAAACAGGGATGTCGGGCCGTGCTCTGGAGCATTAACAATGAATGAGAGCCTCACCGCTCTATTGGCAGTGAATGGGGGATGTGGTACGATTTAAAATGTGATGGTGCAGCAAGCACATTTGGCAGACTTGGGACTTTTCTGCAATGTACATGGAGGACCTTTAACAGATACACAACGACCTGATGTTTAGGAGAACCTTCTCCAATGCTTAACAGGGGGCACAGAGGCTGGAGGGAGGCCAGAGAAAATCGAATCATATTTAAAGATTCATGACCGCATTGGATTTGTAAACACATAACTACATACACAAGAAAAAGCAGGCAGCATGCGGTTTGTTGATTGTCTTCATTTGTAATAGTTAATTGTATCCAAATGGTTCCTGGGGTCTCTAAACAATCACACATTCTCCACGTAACGGAAAGAACCTTTCTTAAAAGAGGAACTCGTTATGTGCTGTCTTCGAACATACTGGGTAATGAAATAGACACGCCGACTTCGATCTGCATCGCCACAAAAGTAATACTCTAAAATCTATCCACCTGATCGGCCTCCTTAGCACCAATAGGCATGTTAAGGAAGTAGTAACCTGGAAGGCAAACATTTCTTAATTTGTTGATACCTACCCTGGGCTATATGTTCCAGGTTGTCGTCCTGCGTGCCTTTGAAGCTTTGTTCACGATAAAAAAGCAATTAAGTTTTGGTAATGAACACTCTTGTGACGTGATTGCTGTATCACTTCATTCGATGCAGTAATATCACAAGAGTTAAACGTGGACGTGATTTTAAATGCTTTATTATTATTATCAGCAAAGCTTTAACTGGTGTCGGTAGCCTGGAACACACAGCCTATGTCTGTACCCACAAGATAACCGCTGTCCATCGTTTGGTATTGCATCTTTCAACTGCTGACTGTGTGTGATGATTGATTGATTTTGAACCAACACATCAGCTTTTGTAAATACTCCAAGTAAACATGATAAATTATCGTCCATCGTCAATTTTAAGGTCTACCCATGAAATGTCAGTAATAGCACTTTGGATGATGAGGATACTTTACCAAAGTGGTCAGTGCGGATCGGTGTCGGATGATGCCTTACAACATTTAAAATATCACTCGCCAACTGATGTTAATCCAGGGTTGGGAATCAAACTCAGGTCGCCGGCTTCACGGTGCAGTGTGCGAATCACCGCGTCACTACCACGCCACCCAAATCAATCGCAACGGATAATCTATCGCAACTTTCCGCACTGCAAGTGGCACCACCCTTTTCCGCGATGGTCAACTCAAACGCAGAGGTAACGACGAAATAAAAACGTAAACGTGAAGACACCGACTGGAATCACAACAGGAAAAAATTAACCCGTAAAAACAAAGTTTTTCACTATAAATCCTTTATATGCGTGGCATTGGTTTTATTTCATTATTCATTTCTGTTTTTCTTGAGTAAGAGTTTCATTTTTATCACATTGGTATTTGAAATTAAATATGAAAAAAAAAATCCTAAAAAGTGAAAAATTTTGGAAAAAAAATTTCACGAAAATAAATTGTCACGCACAACGAGTCTGTGTGCAAAATGTCAGCTCGATTGGATCACGGGAAGTGGGTTAAAAAACGACCAAAAGATTTGCACGGTCGTAAGCGCGCAAGCAAGCAAGCAAGTGAACTTAATATAAAGGATTTAAAAAAAAATTAAGACTCACCATAACTTTAGGCGGGATGAAGTCCGTTCGGCTGCAAGATTCTAGCTCGATCTCCCTCTCCTCCTCCCAGCGGGCGCTGTTGGGCTCCCTGTGCAACCTCTCGTAGGCGCTCTGCATGTCGTGACCTGACACACGAGGTTCCGCGACCACCGCATTTCAGTTGGGGAGGATACGTGCAGGACGGAAACATAACAGTGAAACACAACAGCACTCAGATTGTAAATGTTGTGGATTTGCTCTCCAACACACCGGTGTGCTGTACTAGTGACGAATTGGCACGTTCTGTTTACGTGACAAACCTTACTAGTTGGCTTAGTCTGGTGGTGGCTGGTTTAACGACACATTTATATATTTATGCGATCTAACCCAAAAAAATAAACCTCTATTATGGATAAAAAAAGAGGCTGTCTTGTACGGCAAAAACACAAATGGAATTTTGGCGTGCTTTGCACGTCAAGATGCCATCACAATTCTCGTGCACATTTTGCACAGACCTGTTGCCATGGCTTCCAGCTAAACGGAGCTGAGACCGTGCAATCTTTAATTTTGACGGTAGAAAGGCAACATGACAAACTGTCTTCTTGGTTCTTTCGGTAAAGTCACGTAGAAGGGAAATAATAAAATAATAAAAATGAAACATAATAAAATAATTCTCACGACGTTTCGGCCACAACGCAAGCAGCCGTCCTCAGGTGAAGACCAGGTCTTTTATTTTTATTATTTTATTATTTCCCTTCTACGTGACTTTACCGAAAGAACCAAGAAGATGAATCCCTGCAGTCACGAAAGCTTTAAATCGAAAAATGACAAACTGTGTTCCCGTTTAAGAATCATTAGGATTCATCCGCCGAAGTGTTGTCATCATAGCCTAATGCTGCTGCCGTGTCACCCCGAGCGCCTCTTCTCGTTGTCTTTCCACTGCCTACATCACAACGCCACAAACTCGGGGCTCTTCTGAGCTGGCCGGCTGCATTCTGCGAACTTTGCGCAGTGGTGGCGACGTCGCGTCGGCTTGCAGAGCCCGCGAGCATTCGCGGTTACGTTTGGCCGTGCAGGGCACCCGTTTTGCACGTGTGTAGAAATCAAAGGAAAAATTGCAATTCAACTGAAATTACATTCGATGGCTTGGTGGTGGGGGGGGGGGTGAATGCAACGAGCCGAGTGTGAACACCCGCGGTGCAGAGGGAACGGGAGGACGCACACACTGAGAAGCCCCCTCCAAAGATGCTGTTGAGAAGGCATTAATTCTAGATTTGAAGCTTTCGTGACTGCAAGGATTCATATTCTTAGGTTTTTTCGGTAAAGTCCCCCCTCTCTCTATTTAAGGCCTCGACACAGAGGCGTAGTTTCTCTTTGTGCCTATGTTTGCTCTCTCTCTATGTATCTCTGTGATATCTGTCTGCTTATATGTCTGTCTATGTTTCTGGTTCTGTGTTTAATCTCTCTCTCAAATTTAGCATTCTCAGGAAGAACGTAATCAACCAGATAGGGTGTTGACTGTTATGTTATCCGACTCTCTGTTGTATTACATTACATTTCTAATTATACTAGATTTGTGTTTCTATTTAATTTATACCTGATGATGATTGCTTGTGTTGCAATCGAAACGTCGTATGCTAGTGTTTAATTTAATTTATTATTTTATCTTTATACGTGACTTTACCGAAAGAACCAAAGAATAATTCCTGCAGTCACGAAAGCTCCAAATTAAGTATAAAAATTAAAATTAATAAAAGTAAAATAAAATAAAAATAAATAAAAATCACGACGTTTCGGAGGCAACACAAGCTTCCGTCTTCAGGTGGAACCGTCACAGCACACTTGCTGTATCAAGTAAATGAGAAATTCCAAGAGATACTACACCGTATATATACTTCGTGATTTTACCGAAAAAACCTAAGAATATGAGAAGGCATTGTTCATGCCGACTGCTGCTTTTGTTTCTCATATCCAAAGCTCACTGGCAGAACTTTGACAGCGCAGATTTATTTGGCGTAGCACACAGTGTCCCGCGTGTTAGGCTAACGAGCGCTAAAATTAGTGACTTCTTCCAAATATTTAAAATATATCTTTGGCTTCGCCCCCCCCACCCACCCCCTGTGTTTTTTTAAAGTGCTTACAATATAATGTTGTGATCTATTTTCATCGCACTAATTTTTTCTACAAACCCAACCTGAAAATCCTTGCTGAGGAAGGGATTAAAAAACGACAAGCGTGTTGAATATGAGGTGTTACGTCACAGTTGACAGAGTCCTTTCTCAGGCGACTACAAACAATGCAATTGGTGATAACTGCACGAGGTGCCACAGTTTATTTACGAGACAAAGCTCTCCGTGAACTTGACATTAATGGGAAATATACACGAATTAAAATGTATCTATTTCGCATGAGCTTGATATGAAACAGCCTCACATTGCAACACTCAAAGTAAAATACTATCTAATTATTTTACTTTTCCCACTTTCATTACCACATTACTTCCACTAGAAGAGTCACGTAAATGAGCCAGAAGTTAATTTAATTTAAAAAAAGCTTCTGCTGTTATTAACAAATTCATTTCAACTTGTTCAACGTGTCCAGTATGATGAAGCTTTGATTAATATACTTCATTAGATAATCAATATAATTTCCTTTGATATAGAGATAATGAGTTATGTTGTTTTACCTGCGGTTGATTTCTATTGATTAATAGACTTAATTAGATAATCAATATCATTTCCTTTGATATAGAGATAATGAGTTCTTTTGTTTTACCTGCGGTTGATTTCCATTGATTAATAGACTTAATTAGATAATCAATATAATTTCCTTTGATATAGGGATAATGAGTTTTTGCTGTTTTACCTGCGGTTGATTTCTATTGGGTAACTCTTGCTCTATTTTGTCCTCTGTACTACTTCACTTCATCGTATTTGTTCTTGTCATTTTGGCGACTCTTGAAAATGAGATGATCACAGTCTCTTGAGCCGTCACCCAGTTAAATAAACTTGGGACATTCATTCTCGATTTGAAGCTTTCGTGATTGCAAGAATTCATACTCTTAGTTCTTTCGGTAAAGTCACGTAGGTAAAAAATGAAATTAAAATTAATAAAAATAAAATAATTTAAAAATCACGACGTTTCGGAGGCAACACAAGTCTCTGTCATCAGGTGGGACCGTCACAGCCAGATTTGCTGCATCAAGGGACATTCACTGAAACTTGATACCAGTGTGGATTTTCCTTCGTCGGGGCCAAAAGGGCAACGAACGTGGGGGTCGCGTCAGTCGCCGAGGCCACTCACTGAATCGAGCATCGAGGACTGGGTCGGACTTGGACTGCGACACGTCGCTCAGAGGCAGGGCCCGGCCACACTCTCTGCTTTCTTGACGGTCGAGGGACACTAAACGGACAGGAACCAACATTGGACAGACTGTCAATTATTGGTAAAGAGGCGAAGAGCACAAGTGGCATTCAAACGTGCACTTATAACACTGTACGAGTACACATTTATTCAAGTTGACAGTTTCGCTGTTGCAAGTATAATCCACTTCAACAAAAGTATTGGGTCTGTTTTTTTACGTCTAAAACTTTTTGTGTTGGCAGTTTTGCACCACGCCATAAAAATGCTGACAAGCGATAGTAAAACGTATTTTTCGTCCTTGTATTTGTACATTGTAATGTTGAGCGCACTGGACTTGCAACCCAGAGGTCACCGGATCGCTCTCTCGCGGTGCGGCATTTTTAAGTATGAGCAAGGTTCTAAAAATCCCATGGTGCACCGCAGTTAGTAGATCGTTGTGCCACACGTGGTATGGTAAAGGGTGTGTACCCCCGGCTCTCCCAAGACGAATGGCCCAATGTGGAAGAGGAGACAAAAATACCATCTGGAGGTGTCTCTCCAGAAGGCACACTCGTGAAGGCCTTGCCGCTGGCTGTGGCATTAGCAAGCAATTGCAGGGCTGCACCTCTACGTTTTACTTCGCTTACAAACAAAATCCTTGACCTCAGGCTCACGGCAAAATGCGTAGTCACCGTTTTTTTCAAAAGTTACCCGCATATAACTCAACTGGAATATATAAATACTGCAAACAAGACTTGGCAGGCCCCTCCTGCATGACAGTCACGGTTCCTCAATTGAGGCTTTCCTTGGTAATACAAGCGTAGTAGTAATCATATAAAGTCTGCCCTATGAGCACGGATGTTTGTAGCCTGGAGCCTGACGTGGCACCATGTCTCTGGAAAACCCACCAAGTACGTTTGTGGCACATTAGGAATGGACCACTCTTCTAATGATTTCCTCGTGCAGCAAGGTAGTAAAGTGTGGTTTTGTGAAGGTCCTTATGTGCTGTGCAGTACATGAATGCACGTGTGTACACCAGCATGCGATGACTGAGTTGGGCCTGTGGGTGGCTGGCAGGGTTATTGATTAACCAGACTGGTACACCAGTCACGTGGTTAACGGCGACCCGATTGAGAATTGCTGTGTGACAACACGTGCTGTTGCATTTTACAGATTGAGCACAATAAATGTGTTTGCCCTCGATTCGGAGCACCTGTCCACGTCCTTCATTTCGAGTGTGCAACACATTCATCGCCATCGAGCCACAGCGGGCCAGATGGCCGCCGCTCATTACGCATTTCTACCGGTCCTTTGCTCGTAGTGGACACGATGGCTCCCCTTTATTGGGGCAGCGAAGCGTGTGACTTGCCTGCAGCCCTCCCGCGGTGCCGTCCCACCATCCGCAGATGTTTGTGGAAGTTCCTGCGAGAGAACGAGCGAGCGAGAGAGTGAGATGCATTACCTGATGAGAGACGTCGCTTTAACAGGGTAATATTTACCCGACTAACAAGCGGCAGCATCCGACGTCAAATCGCGCTCCTGTTAAGTGCCCGTGTGGGCAACTTTTTCCGCTCGCTCGTCGGTTGAGTGAGCTGGAAGCACCAGCTCATTAAGCGAGCCTCCTCGTTAAAATATAAAACGCACCTGTGTCCCGCTGCTCTGAGACGCTACAGTTACGTCTCTCTGTGCACTGCGTGAAAAGTCACAGATTTTCAAAAATTTTGAGCGAAATGCGCTGTGCGACGCGGCTCGCTATAAAACGTCCGTCGTGAACACCGAACTCAAAATGCGAAGCTGAAAGAATGGTACAATGCAACGGGAAGGCGTGCGCAGTTGGCAGTCGGCCAGAGGTTCGTATTTCACTTGGGAAGCCACTTTGTAATGCAGAACCAGCCCTTCCTACAAAATGGAGAAGCGGTGGCACTTTATACCCATTTTAGATAAAGACTGGAAGCGGATGTGCAGCCCAATCAACGCCCACTCTCAAATTTAAGCCGAGTTCGGTTGGAATATCCACGAAGAACCACATACACGCGTGTGAACCAACGTGCCCGCGTTAAATCGCACACAAAAACGCAACACACTTGAATTTATTTAAGTGCCAGCACTTCAACCATGTCCGTGGCTTTTTTCTTTTGTATCACGAAACATTACCACATTTTCTATAACCCCAAGGATGGATTTAAGACTTTCAAATGTGAACAACTGTCAATACATTTAGTCGGTAGAGAGTGCCTCTCCTAACATGTCAAAAACAACAACAACAACAATGTTCACATGGGTAGACGCTCCGAGCACAGGCGAACGAGACAGTCAGCTGTCTTCTGCCACAGCTGTGTGGTGTTTTACGATTCTACAGAGAGGTCGTGACCCCCCTCACAAGTCGGCCTGCCACCACGGCTACAACCCAAAATGGAAATTCTCAAGGCCAACGCTCCGTACAGTCACATTCACAAAACCGCAGGGGGGGGGGGCACACGCATGTGCATGCACACACCGAGAATAAAAGCCAGCCCCCGCCCCACACACACCTCCATGGCTGTTCTTCCACGTGCACGCACGGAACACACGTCAATGTGCATTGGCACGAATGGCCAACACATTCATCGCGAACGCTGATGTTCACGGCGCTTCGCTGCGATTACAGTTTCCCTGTGACTATCGCTGAATCGGAAGTGAGAGGACGCTCTGGGTTCTGAGGCGGGAGCTGCGTGCTCAGAGCCGTGCCCTGTGAACTTCCGTGCCCAGAGACTGCGGCTTTATCAGATCACAAGGGCAAAATCGGCGCCGAGCTGTGCTAGTGCGCTGGCATTCTTCCATTACTGATCAGCGAAGAGGCGAAATCAAATCCGCAAGCAGTCGGTGCCAGAACTGCCGTTGGGTTAATCCACCTCTCAATCCACCAAACTGCCTTCCCCATGAGATGCAAGTGTTTGGAAGTGTTCCCAGAAAACGCCGTCACCCTGTGCGCCTACCCCATCGGCCAGAACAAATAAATGCCACTATGAAGGCTGATAAAATAATATTCAAATCTACTTTGCCTGCCCACCGTTTGATGTACTACCAAGTCTTCCACCAAACATAATGGCTATAAATTCAAACGTACGCTTGAAATTTAAATTCTGTACTCAGGGAAGCCTCCCATAAGTTTTCAAGATTTTCTGATGTTTAGTCTCAAACTCTGCATCGCTGTCAATGGAAATACAATATAGGTATTCATAAAAAGTTGGTAAAGGCGCAACCCTGCAATTGTTTGCAAGCACCACCGCTGATGGAAGGGCAAGCTCTCGAGACCTTCTCTAGAGGGCCATTTGGCCTAATCTTCCACACTTGCCAGACATCTTGGGAGGGGTGGAAGTACCCACACTTTTCATCACAACACATGACCTGCCGATCGACTGTGGTGAACCCATTGCCACTTGCTTGGGTGGACAGAGGCGGGGGGGGGAATGCCCCATCATTTCAACTGCTGCGCCAAGAGGTCATACCTGGAAACCTCTCGATTGCAATTCCAGTGGTGTAAACCATGACACTACGGAAGCACAAGCAGGCGGGCATTCATCGCCAGTGCCTAAATTACGCCTCCTTAATTCTAGATTTGAAGCTTTCGTGACTGCAAGGATTCATATTCTTAGGTTTTTTCGGTAAAGTCACGTAGGTAAAACATTAAAATTAATAAAAGTAAAACAAAATAAAAAATTTAAATCACGACGTTTCGGAGGCAACACAAGCTTCCGTCTTCAGGTGGAACCGTCACAGCCACGACAGCTGTATCAAGTAAATGAGAGATTACAAGAGCTACCACTCCGTATATATAATGGTTGGAGAGGGGGAAGGGCCAAGTACGGCACACTTTTTATTAATTACGCCTCCTTCTCTACCAGGCCGTACTGGGCCGTAGCTGTAGGGATCTGGCCGAGGGTAGAAAGCGTTGGCTAGGTGTGATGGTATCAATGGCTCTGGCCATTGACCTTTCTCTCCGGCCGCTGGAAAGGCAATGCTCACCTCTGCACCATCGCTGAAGGATCCAGTTCCCGCTTGCGTCTCTTCCGCTCCGCGTATCCACGGAAGGCACTGCAGACGTGCAAAGCACAGCCGCTCGATTCACGATTAATTATTTACGCGCAAAAAAAAAAGTCGAGCATTTTAAATGAAGCACAGTCCTGAGATGCGACGTAATGACGCGGAATGTTATTTAATGGAGGGTACTTACGCGATGCTGTGGTTCGGTGTTCGTGCAAAAGAAAAAGGAAAACAGAATTACAAGATGCTCATTATTAAAATGCAAATGGGTTTTTGCACACGAGATTTATTTATCGCAGAAAATATGACGCAAGTATAACGTGCAAAAAATTGTAAATGTTCAGTTACTTTAAACAATGATTCTTTAAAAATATATATATAAACAAATCCTTCACTCAATAATACGCATGCATTTATATGGAGTTATTACTGTCGCCTGATGATTAATGCGTTGATAATTATGCGGTTGCCTCGTGATTGTACGCACATTTTTAAACCCAGCAAATGTGCAACGGCTGAGAGGTCGGCGAAAGGAATGAAGCATCTACCACGTTGGCCTTGAAGACCTCTCAACCTTGGCCTATTCTACCCCAGCTCATCGTCACATGGCACTTGTCAAGACTTTTAGTTTATAGGGTTATTATTTTTAAAATATATAAAAAATATAACAGGTCAGGACCAGTTTCAAGCACCAGTGGTGAAGGAGACCCCCCCCCCCACCCCCCTTCCCCGGAATATTCCAAGGAGCACGAGGTTCGGGACGACGGTCGGGGCAGCGTGCTACGTACGCTTGCAGCGTCGACGCAGTGCTGTGCAGCATGTGCATGCTCTCGCTGGGGAACCAACTCCGGCACTCGATGTCGTCTGTCAGGCGAGAGACAAAAAACGATGGGCCCCCACCCCCCCATTTTCAAGCAATCCTCACAACAAGTGACCGTGTACTATGAGACATCTCCTTTACCAGTGGCAAAATATAGTAGTAGGTTTTTACCCTTTAAACTGGTACAAAAACTGACACCTGTATACAAGGCATCATGTTTGCAATAACCACAACACAAGCAGTCAAAATGCAAACAAAAAGAAACAACTCTGATGATGATAATGATATGCACTGTCCTTGAAGTTGATTGGTCCACACCCGAGACAGCTTTTCTTAGAGCCTAGTCTCCAATAGAGATTAGGCTCTAAGAAAAGCTATCATCATCAGAGTTGTTTCTTTTTGTTTGCATTTTGACTGCTTGTGTTGTGGTTATTGCAAACATGATGCCTTGTATACAGGTGTCAGTTTTGTACCAGTTGAAAGGGTAAAAACCTACTACTATAAGTCACCAGAAAAAAAAGAAAATGAAAAAATTTACGGTAACACACCTTGCCTTAGGTGGCCCTGCAAATTGCTCGTTCAGAATGAAGTGAAAGAAAGCACTCCACGTGTGTAGTTTAGCGATCGTACCGGCCAAAGCAAGCCTCGCTCGCTGTTATGCCTGTCATACTCCAGTGGGAGCTTAGTCATGATCAGGGATTCTTGCGACTGAACCCAAACGTCCTTTAAAACATCTTACAAACAACACGTCCACCGCCCCGAGCGCTGGGGTTTAATTAAACTTGGTATATAACTGAAATGATAAAAGATTAATGTATACATTATTAAACAATATTACATCTCACAATATGCTCAACATCATTAAACCTACGTATGTTAATTGTGAGCGAGCGAGCACTAATATTCATCGTATTTGTATTTTTGTATTCTAAGATTGTATATTACGGCTAATTCACATTTTACATTTCACATTTTATATGGTCTACTTTTTCATAATTTTACATACTTTAGCCCATTAGTATTAGTTATACTTTGTAACGTTAGTATAGTTAGACTGTATATCACCTATTTAAGTTTTTAAGATGCCTACATGTTGAATGTATGCACCTTCCGGCCATAGTAAATTCCGTGTATGTGCAAACTTTCATGGCGATTAAAACCGTTTCTGATACTGATTCTGATCCATATTGCATACAAATGTCTGACGTGCCCTGTCCAAGCCCGACTACATTTCTTAACAGTTTGAATTCTCTTTACTATGCACGCGTTCTCTAATCCACGAGTTCTTCTCGCCTATCTCAATGTAATTCCACGCATGCACTTCTCCACGCCTGAGATGAGATGGTGGCCGATGGCCGACAACATTAACGAAGTGGGTGATCCAAGGCCATTGAACGTGTTGTTCGGAGGACACGTCCATTTGGGGGAGAGACGGAGCAATGAAATCACCTCGTGTGCCGGTGCAAGGTGAACGTTCAAATCGCAAGCTCGTGAGAGACAGTGGTGGATGGGGAGACCTTCATCCAGCAGTGGATTGGCCATGGTTGCTGCTGATGATATATATGTCACTGCTGGCAAGATTCTTTTTCCAATTTGGTGCCAACAATCTTCCAAGATCTCTCCACATCCTGACCACACTCCAGGGTCAACGTGTAAACCATAAAGTGTTCAATATCTCTGCTGACACACCCCTAGAACACACACACACAGCCAACTTCCACATCCGTTTGCGCCAATGTCTCCCTACGCACTCACAAAAGACTTCATGAATACCTGCTTAGCAGAGCAGCACACACACACAGGATGAGTTTAATCTTCGTCACTGACAATCGGTACTGAACACACGATGTTTTACTCTCCGCGTGGCTTATCGGCTGATTTAAAATGTTCTGCTCAGCTGTTTGGAAAGCCCTTTTTGACCTGCTGCACATTATTTTATTTTTTACAGCTTTTATAGAATTCAAAAAGTACCCCCATCTTTCGGTTGGCAATATTTTTGGTTTGTAGTGCAGCTTTCAGCATTCCATGGAAAAATCACTTCGGTCAGCTCTTTCCCACTATCAGAGAAGTGCGTCACAGCTTCCATCCAATGATCTGTCCCAAATTATTCATAAGTTTTCATCATCATTATCAATCATCCATGGTAAATCCAATGCTGGATAAAGTGCAATTTTTGGGAACAAGATTAGCAGGCGTCCCTAAATATTTGACATAGGAATGAAATACCATAATTTATTTTTTAAACCTTAAAAAACTACAAACCCATCAGCCTCTTATCACATTGTTAACGATAATAATTTGTGAACAAAATTTGAGGCCAGCTAACAAGGGGAGCAAGAAGAAAGGTTTTAGTTTTTTTTTAAATCGGCCACTTACACATTACACAGCAGTGGTCTCAACATACACATACAAATACAGGAGGTCAAATGTGTGGAAGGTTAAACAATGACTCGAGGTAATTTTACCATACCTGTCCACCCACACGGTTTACCCGTATTCTTGTACAGGGAAATTGAGTTTTCAGGTCCATATGGCATACAGCCGTTTCAATACGGGCACATTTTTTTTCAACATTGTCTATTTATTTGTGTTTCTCCCTTGTGGTACTTAGTAGGATGAAGGTTGAGATTTCTAAGGGCACGGGGTGACCAATAAGGTATGGATTGTTCTAGTAATAAGTTAGGCACTTGATAAAGGGTATGTTTTTACTTTCCCCAAAAACGTGGCAGTTGAAAAGAGCTCGCACGTCACTGGAGCCTCGCACACAACCACCACCACCACCACCACCCTCCCCACCAAAAGGAAGTCAGCAACAAAAACTTACTAAAAAATACATCAAAACAAATTGGCAACGTTTAGCGTGAAGTCTAATTATAAAACTGAACGTGCAGCCATGCAGACAACAGTGCTGTTTGAAAGCGGCACCGGTCAAGTGATGACACAGTTACATAAACTCTCAATGTGCCTTGGGATAGAAAATGAGTGAAAAGTGTGTCTATTTTTGTCCGCGAATGCTAATGCTACTCTCACGAGCACGCCGGTTCCCTTTATGTTGCACATTAAAGCCAGGAGCGTAAACACTCAGAGGCCAAATGAATGCACGCGAGGTTCATCCTTTTGTTCGGAGAAAGAACGGTGAAAGCAAAATAAATGTTTTTAGTCCTCCTGATGCAAAAACGCGAATTTCAAATGGGAGTCTTACCTTTGTCCGTGCCTAATCAGTGGCTCTGCAGAACAACACTACTTTTGTCTCTCGCTCCCTTGTTCCGAGAATTAGACCTCGAGTGTGAAACATTTAACGCTAAGACGGTACACAATGTCTCAAATCAGAACATCTAATAATAAATGCACCGGACAAAAACACCGTGCAAAAACGTCACAAGGACAGCATTGCAATGCTACACGAGCTAACCGTGAAAAGCACCTGTAAGTACATAACATCACTTGCAGCACACTTACCCACATACACCCACACGAGCATAGATACAACTATAGGCTTGTCAATCAACTGCTGGATGAAGGCCTCCCCACACCGTGTCAATCGAGGGAGTTGCTTGACTCCACTCCAACGCGGCTCGCCATGCTTCGGGCACTCGCCACCGATGCTTGCGATGGTCAAGAATAAAACTCACCATCCAATATGAAACCACAATATCGAGTAATACTTTAGGATTTTGGCACCGCTACGCATGAGATAAAATTTCGCCGTTTAAATATATCGCGTCTATTCAGAGTTCCTCCACCACATCTCAGTAGTGTAGGGCTCTGCCCCACAGAGTCAGGGTTTGACATTTCACTCAGTGGCTGTTGTATGCCATTCGCAGACGACCACAACCTCGTCCTGGAATGTTTCGCACCGTTGTCGGCAACCAGCGGCGCCTCCGTGCGTCGCACATGCCACTGCCTACTGGGCCACGCACAACGTGCGCTGCGATCCGGCTGAAAAAAACACGCAGAAACAGAGGCGATGCGCAAACGACGCCGCGACACCCACCGGAGATGCGATCCATGCTGTACATGCGCTCCAGCTTCTTCTTGCTGCTCAGCGCCTCCTGCTCGGCCTTCTCCTGCTCCAGGTCGAAGGAATGCTTGAAGACGCCGAGGTTCTCGCAAGCCGGGCACTCCAGGGAGTCGCGCTCCCTCACGCTGGAGCCGCCGCCGCCGCCGCCACCATCCCGGCTGCTCCCGGCGCTGCTGCTGCCGCCGCTGCTGCCGCTGAAGTGCGATCCCCGAGAGATTGCGTGAAGCCAGCGCAGGTGGCGCCTGCCCTTGTTCTCCTTGCTGTGGCCTCCGCCGCCGTGGCTGCAGCCGGCGGCCGGAGAGGTCCGGGCGGACGCGGAGCGGGAGGGCGGCGGCGGCGACGGGGACGGGGGTCCGTAGTCGCGCTCGTCGCTGAGGATGGTGTACACCTTGGGCGGCTGCAGCAGCCCCGGGTCGGGCAGAGGAGGAGGCGCGGGAACGGGAGACGAGGAGGGGATGGAGGGGACGGAGGGGGAGGGAGCCGGCGTGGCGGGGGTACGCTCCGCCGCCTCGTCCGAGAAGCTGCGGCTAAGCGAGAGGCGACGCTTCTGCTGGAGCAGCGAGGGGGGCTGTAGGCACGGGGAGGGCGTCGTCGCGGCTGACGCCGACACCACCGCCGCCGCCGCCGCCGATGCCACCGCCGATGGTGCTTCCACGCCGGGCTCCGACAAGCACCGTTCTGCCAAGTGGCAATCGCACCGCACGCTCTCACGGCGCCGCCCACAGCAAAACAACGCCCTGAAGCTGACCAGAGCCATTTGCTGTCCGCCAGCCGGTGCTGATGTGCGACGTTGTTGCTTGGTAAAGTTCTAGGCAATGAAGCGTTTGACAGCAGGCACGGCGGCCGGGTCTAGAGACACAGCGCGGCGCTCACATGTTAGCGATCGGCTATATAACTGGGTCATTTTTACAGTGTGAATTAGTGGTGTAGCGAGCGTGCTGGCTGTGCGTGTGAGCGTGCAGACAGTGAGTCTCCTAGGGGGCTCACCTGTGCCTCCTCTTTCGTGGCCCTGCATGTGACCGAGCTGAACGTAGTCCCCGAAAGATTTCACTGCCCTGCGCACCCACAGGTCACAACAACACAGCGAAGCAGATGTTCAAGGGCACCAAGATGGATTTGACAGAATATGGTGACAACACAATTATCAAAGCTACTGGATTTTTATTGTACTCCTTCATGGTGAATTATAATGCCAATTGTTCATCCAGGAAAGCCTCACCCGAGTCTCAAGACTATTTTTAAGGAAGGTCCTGCTACATGGGAATATTACGAATTGTTTGTGCATGTGGCTTGGTGACAGGTACCAAATTCATATTTAGCCAGACACTATTTCAAATGCGGCAATAGCACTCCTACTTTAAGCAGATCAACACAATCTGACCGTGATGACTAACAATAAATGAATAAACCAGCGAGCCAAAATGGCACTTTGTAGCTGCAATCAAGATTATGATGCAAAATGGCCATCGAAAGGCAAATTCACGATTTGCCAGTCTTTTAATGAGACTTACTGTACCTGAATTTAATTGCCGCTGAGGAAATAGCTTCTGCTCGCATTTGTCTTCGCTTGGACACAGAGGTCCCCATAGTCAGCCGAGCGCTCGCCCCGCTCTTCACGGTGCACAACGCAGCACGCCAAAGTGAGAAAACACAGAAACAAATGGAAATGTAAAAAAGAAAATAACAGCAGCTTTCGTGCTAGAGAGCCCCCCCCCCCCTATAAACGTGTCTCTATCCCTGCCCCAGCTCTCACAACGCCGTGGAGCGACACCACAGCGCCCACGACTACTGCTGCTGCTGCTGTTGCCCGACTGCCGTTGTAATTGTTGGACAGCGATGCCCGAGTCATGATTCTGACCGGGAGTCTTCCTCCAGACTGAGTGAAGCGGCGGGTCAACGTGGTGGGGTAGGGATGGGGTGATAGGGGGGTGGGTGGGAGGATGAGGCGTCCGTGTGTGTGTGTCTCTCTCCCCTCTCACTCCCTCGCTCGCTCTCTCTGTGTTGTCAGTGTCTGCGTGCGGCCGTAGCGGTGCTGGGAGGTGAATAGAGGAATGGGGGTGGTGGTGGTGACGACTCCGCCGTTTGTGTCCCGTGGGGGTGGAGGGGGGGTGATAAGCAGGAGGGGGGGGCGATCGTACCGATGAGAAGTGGCTAAGCGCGTCTGCACGATGTGCACTACCCACCACTGGCTGCAGACACACAGCACACAAAGATCCCCCGTATAGCCTTAACAGACTATAGGGGCAAGTGCTGTTAGCGAGCACCTATGCAGGCCGGCACGGCACACGAGGGGGTGGGTGGCCAGCACCACGCGCGGCCGCCTTTGTCTCCCCAGTGGCGATGTGTTTACACCGCACCAGATACTAATTTGAGGCTGAGTCGACCTAGGGGAAATCCAGGACCGGTCCAGATATTCGTTACTGATGTAGGCAGTGTGCGCGCTAACCGCGACACCACCGCTCCCACGCACCCATCCACACACACACAAGACAAAGACCCCCCGTATAGCCTGAACAGACTCTTGGGGAAAGTGCTGATAGCGAGCACCTACGAAGGCCGGAACGGCACACGAGGGGGGAGGGGGGTGGCTAGCACCATGCCCGGCCGCCTTTGTCTCCCCGGTGACGATGCTTCTACACACACCCACGCGCACCCACACACACAGTCACACACGCGCACTCCCCTCCTTTGCACGTGCGCAATCGTCAGCACCACGCCTCCTTCTCCGCTTTCACCTCCCTCTCCCATCCATCTCCCATCCATCCCCAACCTCCAACACCCACCCCCCCATCCCACGCACAGATGACACACAAGACAAAGACTTACACAGCACACACACACACCGCTCCTCCCTTCCCTCCCACACCGACCATTGAGTGCCAAGTTGCTGTTCGCTAGCGCCTATCGCGAGATGGTGAATGTGTGATGGTCTTCTGGCGTTGCTACAGACAGAGAGAGATAGATACACGCGCACAGAAACTGCGGCGGCCACCTTTCGTCTTCCCCCCGCGTTCGTCGCCGCTGTTTCCCGACCACAACCGCTGTGTCTTAAATGAGCTGCTGCTTGCTGCTGCTTTGCTCCTGGCTGCTGCTGCTCAAATTAGGCTGAGTCAGCCGTGGGGGGAAGGGAGGTGGAGGAGGGAGGATGTAGGGAGGGTTTGGAAGCGTCAACGAGTCGCACTGCCACCCCGTGTTGCACGTGGAGCACCACACGGGGACACGGATCGACACCCAACCCAGGCGTGATGGCACCGGCTGCGTACAATGGGCACGTTCGAAGGGGAAAAATAAACACACACGTGAACACAATGACAAAGATCCCCCCATAGAGCCTGAATAGACTGTAGGGGCAAGTGCTGTTAGCGAGCACCTATAAAGGCCGGCACGGCACACGAGGGGGTCGGTGGACAACACCACGCCCGGCCGCCTTTGTCTCCCCAGTGGCGATGTTTACACACCGCACCAGGTACTCATTTAAGGCTGAGTCGACCTAGGGGAAGCCCTGGGACCGGTTCAGATAATCGTCACTGGTGTTGGCCGTGAGCGGGAATCGAACCCGGGTCGCCAGGTTCATAGCGCAGCGCGCTAACCGCTACACCACCACACACACACACGTGCGTCACACATGGACGCGTTAAATAGCTCTGGCTCATTGTTTTGGAGATACGCACATGTGTGTGTGTGGGGGGGGGTAGGTCGACTCAGCCTTAAATGAGTACCTGGTGCGGTGTGTAAACATCGCCACTGGGGAGACAAAGGCGGTCGGGCGTGGTGCTGGCCACCCACCCCCTCGTTCGTGTACCGTTCCGGCCTTCATAGATGCTCGCTAACAGCACTTGCCCCTACAGTCTGTTAAGGCTATACGGGGGATCTTTATCTTTGTAGCGGGTAGCGCGCCGCGCTTCGAACCTCACGATCCGGGTTCGATTCCCGCTCACGGTCAACACCCGCGACGATTATCTGAACCGGTCCTGGGCCCTCCCCTAGGTCGACTCAGCCTCAAATGAGTAGCTGGTGCGGTGTGTCGTAAACATCGCCACTGGGGAGACAAAAGCGGGCCGGGCGTGGTGTTGGCCTTCATAGGTGCTCGCTAACAACACTAGCAACACTAACAAGAAACAGTTTGCTACAAGCTATACGGGGGGTCTTTGTCTTGTGCGTGACGTCTCACGATTATGTGCACATACCGGCAGTGTTGATACGTAGCTCCTATCTCGACGCTCGGGCACATGTGCCGCCTTGCACTGTGGATAAAAAATAACAAATGCGCACAGAATTAATCTCATTTTACAATTCCAAAAGTATTGTCTTTGGGAGGATATCCAATTGAAATGATGCCTTAGGGGCCGTCCATACATGACGTCACGCGATTTTGGACGATTTTTGACCCCCCTCCCTTCGTCACACGGCGTCACAAAAAGTCAGACCCCCCCCTCAAATATGCCCATTTGATGTGACGTCACATTTCTCAAACCCCCTCCCCCCCATCGTCACACATCGTCACAAATGTCTGACCCCCCCCCTCCCCAAGGTGCGTGACGTCATTTATGGACGGCCCCTTATGGGATAATTGCGATACAATTCTAACTTCTATTGTCTTTTGTTTCTCAAAAAGAATGATGTATGCATGTAAGACGTTTCTGTCTCTACGTGTCGCACCGGCATGACCATCGCAAGTTAATGAATATCACGCACAATTAAAAACACGTGGTCAAATGTGTCGAGCAAAACTCCCACGTTTTCTATGTCACCTCTTCTAAGACTGACCATCTACGGTATCTGCCGTGGCGGCTAATTATTAACTACCTCGCCTGGTATGCGGGAGGTCGTGAGTTCGATCCCGACCCTGACGTGCCTGCTGCTGTATATTTGGAGTTTGCGTGTCTCTCTCTCACATCATCATCACGGTGGTTAGGAGATGTTAACTACCTCGCCTGTTATGCAGGAGGTCGTGAGTTCGATCCCGACCCTGACGTGCCTGCTGCTGTATATTTGGAGTTTGCGTGTCTCTCTCCACGTGGTCGTGTGGATTTTTCTCCGGGTCCTCCGGTTTTTCCCTCCACATTTATAAACATGCGTTTAGAGTATTTGTCTGCTAAAATGTCCACGTAATAAGTGAGCTATCATTTGTGGCCAGGTCGCTTCTGAAAAAGAGTTCTATATAGCTCAGTGGGCCTTTCCTGGACAAATAAAAACTATGATAATTGGTTTTTTACCCTTCTATCTGGCAACAAAACTGACACCTTTTTTTACAAGGAGTCATGTTTACATAGACCACAATACCTGCAGTCATAATGCAAACAAAAAACATAACTCTGATAATGTGCACTGTCCTTGAAGTTGATTGGTCCACACCCGAGACAGCTTTCCTTAGAACCTAGTCTCACATGGGTTGGACCAGATGACGCCAAAAGGCGCGCTCTAAGGAAAGCTGTCTCGGGTGTGGACCAATCAACTTCAAGGACAGTGCATACATTATCAGAGTTATGTTTTTTGTTTGCATTATGACTGCAGGTATTGTGGTCTATGCAAACATGACTCCTTGTAAAAAAAAAGGTGTCAGTTTTGTTGCCAGATAGAAGGGTAAAAAAACAATTATCATATTTTTTTACTGGCAAATGAGGTTCCAATGAAATAAAAACTAGTTTAGTTTCGTTGACCTTGGTCTTCCAACAGCTTCGACTGGTCGAGGCTGTTATTTACTCCCTCCGTTGAATATTTCATGATTTGTCGTCGGTGAAGAAAGAAGATTTATAATTCCCAATGTAGTTTTATTCATGCAATTACTGTGCAATGCTTAATGGAGATTTATGCATTTCTTGCGCTATGAAGATGGGATTACAACAATCTTGAGATTTGAAATGTAAAGTAACTGTTTACATATTCAATGTAAAACATCATTAGTCGCTCGTGTCTGCTCAAAAGAACTCCCGTTGACACACAGCAACAACAACAACAGCTGCCATTCGCCACGAAGTGATGCTGATGTTGCCACTGTGCTTTGTGCCATCCTCGGTGCACTTCGAGGCCACGTGAAATGTCGAATGCTTGCTGGCAGGAGGTCACAGGACAGACCCACGTGTTATGGGTAAACTGAGATGAGGCACAGGCTGACATAGACACAAAGCACTGAGAAACCCTGGCATTCAACAGAAGCGGCCAATACACCATCAGAGAAAGTGAGCTGCTTGCCTTTTAAGGCTTTGGCTCATAGATGTAAACTGGCAAATACTTGCACACACACACACACATACGCATTTACTATCTGAGCTTCATTGCAAGGAAGATAAAGTGTCATTATGCTTCGTGCTAGACACTACACCCACCCAGCTTTATCTCATCCTTGTAGAATTGATTGTGCTGCCAGGTTACGTTCAGTGATCTGGGATTGCTTTTAGGTGTTCAATGAGACGACGCTGTCAAATTATCACAAGTTAGAAAAATGTGCAAATGAAGAGTTACAAAAAAAAAGATATTCTCACATGGTATGTCAATGCCGATTGTGATGTTGATAGGGATGAAGTATATATTTCTAAGAAATTAGTTGAACTGTATGTCTAATCATTGCATTTATGACGTTTGCCTATGAATACAGTTCAGTACATTGCAAACGAATGGCCTTTTATTGCAAGGAAGACCAGTTGTCCTTCTACCTAATGTGTTTTGCCATATATGTATCCTTGCAGCAGGTCATTAATTTTAATGTAATTACTTGGTAATTGTTCCTTTCAGAGAAGGGACATGTTAAAAACTGAGCAGGGCATGTGTTTTTTTTCTTCTAATTTGATAATAGATCCATTTAAAATCCCCTTCAGACCATATCATAATAATAATTGTGAATAACGTACGGAACTTTGTCAATCTACTGATGGGTAAATTCTTCTGCGAACCAT